AGGAGTAAAGCCACAGCATCAGACTTTCCACGTTGATGAGCTGAAAGGATCAAATTCTTAGAACACAGTCACGGTGTGCGCCGGTTATTCTTTGCACACTCGGTTTTGTAACGCTGCTAACTCTGAATGAAGTTAATTAGAAAGTTAATTTCCACTCAAGGCTTCAGTAACAGATGGGAATGGTGTAAATCAGTCAGCATAGTTGTGATGCTGCCAGTAAAATCAGTACAGACACATTCGTCATGCCAACAAAGTGCGAGATGACTAAACTGACGCATGCCATGCCGTGCCGTACACCTACACTAGGTACAACATGAGTAGCAGTACAGTGTTTCTACAGCAACAGAGGATCAGTGGAAGCTCCACTACTCAGAACTCATTATTGTCAAAGCATCAGTAACAGTTGCTGTGAATTTAGAAGAAAATAATAAGGTACTGAATATCTGGAGAGACCTTTTTCATTCAGGTTTGTCCCCTCCAGTTCTAGGAAGAGCCAAAACATGTGAAGGTTGAATCAGATGCATTTGATCTCAGCCACTGAGTCACTGTGCCTGAAAACAAGGCTAATTTCCCATTGATGAAAGAACTGTAGCTGAGCGTGGCTGCAAAGTGATCCAACACACCACCTCCGGCTAATGATTGTCAGTGATAAATTTATCTTCCCATTATTTATTTCAGAAAAAAAGAGGTAGGGTTTAAGGTCGCACTTTATTTACATGGATATTAGCAAATGTAAAACGATGCCAGGTAGTTGCAGGAGTGAGCTTAGAAAGTGTCGTCATTACTGCTTGCAGGTGCTACATCCCCAGCACAGATGGTCATATCTGAGACACATCGGGCCTCATGCAAGACCCACCCACACACGCACACCTGCTGCAGCTCTGTGGGAGCTGTGAAATCACGCAGGGTCTTTTACAATAGCGCCACCAATAGTCGTATTAAATGGAGATGTTAGAGTATTTACACAAATGTTTCTACAGTGTTTTCAGTTCACATCAGAACACTTGCACTGTCGTGATCCAACAGTTATTTGAATGTCAAGTTAAGCTTTTTAATCTCAACAAAACCCAGGCTCCCTGCCATCTGTTTGCTTTTACTATCAGACTGGTCGGATTTCTGAGAATCACTTTTTTTTTTTAATCAGGTTTCTTATTTTACGTGACCGTGTTGCTCGAGGTAAATCTGACTGTGTGCTGCACTCACCATATGGCTGATGTTACTGATATTTCACTAGATTCCGGTTTCTTTTTTGTCTCAACCACATCCTTCCTTGTGGTTCATGTGCTGTGTTCACACCTGCTCGACACCTGGCTGACTGAAAAACAAACACAACTGCTGTCTGACCCGCACTGAGCCCTCGTGGTTTTCTTGTACTGTTGCAATGATGTGATCAGGTCAGCACATCTGGAGTCTGGTACAGTAAACCGTGTGTAAGAACTTTACTAGAAGTGTATGTGCGCTGAAAAGCCAAAAATGATTCAGACCACGTGTACTCAACACCTGTAAGCAGTGTTCCTTTACAAATCACAGATCACCCAGAGTTGTGCACACGTGAATCAGCCTCGTATCTTGCCCTGCACGCACCCGTTTTTAACTATAAATAGTTGATGCAAAGCGCCTCGTGAATGCTGATACGCAAATTAAGGAGCCTGGCAAGCAATTGTTCTGTCGTTATGGTGAATCACAGGAGAGAAAAGAGCAAAGAAAAGTAACTACAGAGACACTTGTAGGGGAGGTGGAGGCCCGGAAAACTACGTTACTTGTTGACTACAGCCGCAAGATCATAAATTAAAAAGAAGCAGTGCGGGTGGCTACGTGTTGCTCCTGCTGTCAACTGTCAGTGGGACAGAACAGACGTGAACGTGAGAAAAAGTGGTCTGATCTAAAGGTGCACTGCATCTTTCTACTCCTTTGCCAACATGTATTCAATTTGTGTTGCCTGAGTATTTAAGGATGTTTTACTTTGATGTGCTCATTGATAATAAATGTGCAAAATAAAGCATCTCATTCATTCAAGGAGTGGACAATGTGACGGTGAGATAGCGCTGATTAAATTTTGATTTAAGATTTGAGTTGGATTTTACAAGACGGTGTTTACGAAACAATTCTCACTCGCTACAAGCGTAAATAGCACTGCTGGATTTAATCTTCATAACGTGGATCTATCGTGTGATATGGAGTGAAATGAAATGTGTGTGAGGCATCAGTACTTCTAGTTGTTCCTTACATTTGATTCCTACTAGCTGACTTGACTTCACCACCGTCTGTGGCCAGAATGTGCCTGTGGATGGGTCGGAGTTCACTTACAGGCGCGCTCATTCTCTCGTCAAGTTTTTCTAGATCACAACCTGTGCGTAGGAAGTGACGTATGCTGCTTTCAGGTCCTGTTTTGTGCGTACGCCACGTTTATAAATGAGACCCCTGAGTTATGTTGTGTACCTTCACGTTAACACAACAATGATCTAGGATTAAAAGAAAATGTCATGTGAGATTTTCCTGGGCCTGCGGTCTGCACCCAGGTTTCACTGCTCTGTTGTCCTAGATAGTTCTCGTCTGTTTTTGAGGTCATTTCTTTGGGGCCATTTGTGGTATTGTCTTTCTAATGTCATCTCTCTTTTTTTTGTGCTTGGGTACTTGTGTGCGTGCTCCAGTATTAGCAGCACGCTGATGGACATGGAGAGCACAGCATCCAGCGGGCGCTCCACCCCGGCCATGATCAATGGTCACAGCGGGGGAGCGGTGGCGGGGAGCGGCTCAGCGCCAACGGGGGGCAAGTCTCTGAACTACACATGCTGCTGGGATCACTGCCAGCTGCTGTTCCCCAGCAGCCCCGACCTGGCTGAGCACATCAGAGCCACACATGTGGACGCACAGAGAGGAGGGGTCAGTATTGTACTCTCAGCTCCCTGTATAAATTAGTTTGTGCCTGTCACATGATAGATCATCATCAGCTAGTGCAGTGTGACTGTAACCTGTCGTATTGTCACAGGGGCCCACGCAGGCATAATGTGGACGTTGTGCTAGAGAGCTGGCAGGGTAACGTCCGCTGAATGTCTGGGGCGACTGACTCGGACATTGCTTTCTCACATACAGCTGCTCCTCCTCCTGTCTAGATAAGTTCAGGGTCACTGGCGAGCCCAGCAACATGGCGGCTACAAACAACCCATAATGCAGCACTCTGCGTTTTAGACACATCCATTTAAAAATATCTCATATTGTGAATAATATGTAGTCGTCTAGTTTTTAACATAATACAACCCCATCTTTTCAAACAAAATCCATAAACATATCGTCAGCCAGTGGAGTCTTTTCAGAAAGTTGCTATGTTTTTCTCCACTTGTGCTCAGTAACTCAGTGTATATACCGCTTACGACTATTGGACAACCCGTCTCCAGTGACCGAGACTTTATGAACAGTTTATCAAACAGCTGTTGAACAAGCAGAAGACAAAGTTGCAGAAATGTCTTCACCACTTTGCCAGTGGTCCACTCACTGAAGTCTCCATTTTACCCATAATCTGTTCACACTGTGCTTGTAATGCTAATGAACTTGACATTAGTACTGCCCCCTGAAGGGTGGTGAAGTGTAGCTCCCGGAACACACCTCCAAAGCCTGTGGAGGGCAGTGGAAACAAATGCAGAACCCGGTGTGAGTGTTACTTGGCCCAACACATTCCAGTAGGTTCCTATAATGGAAAAACTCTAAAAGCCAGTTCCAGGAACCCGCCCCCCCCCTGAGTGAGTGCACAACAGTGGAAACAAAAGTCAAACTGGTTACATGTTGCTGTGGTCAAGCTCCTGGAGGAGAACTCCAGACCACTGTGTGAGGAGGACCGGAGGCCTCCTTGTCTGGAAAACAGTCTCTGTCTGTTGAAAGATTATTTAATTTCCACACTGCTGCAATCTGTCTTGTTGTGTAACTGTTTGTGTATGCTTGCATGTGTGTGTGTGTGTGCCACACAGGTGTTTGTGTGTCTGTGGAAAGGCTGTAAAGTGTACAACAAACCATCCACCAGTCAGAGCTGGCTGCAGAGACACACGCTGACCCACAGTGGGGACAAACCATTCAAGGTACCTGTACTACTGTCACCCTGGCATCGCTGTCCGCGGCACTTTGGCTAACTGACGTTCTAAATCATTCATGTTCCCGCAGTGTGTGGTGGGCGGTTGCAACGCCACGTTTGCCTCTCAGGGGGGGCTGGCACGTCACGTCCCCACTCACTTCAGCTCACAGGGCTCATCCAAAGTGTCCAGTCAGGGCAAACTGAAGGAAGAGTCTCCGTCCAAGGCCGGCCTCAACAAGAGGAGGAAACTCAAGAACAAACACCGACGCTCGCTCCGTATGTACAACACACACTGTATAATAACCCTGTTCAAGGACACTGAGGACACTGCTCCACACACACACACACAAACCTGGAGTCAAATTGAAAAGAACTTTGTTTTTCCAGCCCGACCTCATGACTTCTTTGACGCTCAGACCATGGATGCCATTCGCCATCGAGCCATCTGCCTCAACCTGGCAACACACATCGAGAGCCTGGGCAACGGACACAGTGTGGTCTTCCACAGCACGGTGGGCACGCGCGCACACACATACCCACGCCATGAAGTATGTAGAACCTGTTGTAGTATTACTGCATTACCCACCAAGCATCACTTCGTACAATTAAAGTTGGTTAAAGAAAACATTCACTTTTAGCTTGAATAGCTTTGACAGCAAGAAGTTAAGACTCCACCCCGAATCTGTGGCTGTGCACGTTATTAGGGCTGTCCTGAACGGCAGATTTTGGATTTAGGAGCTTCGCTAGTAAGAGTCAGCGAATACCTGCTGGGGGATGGGGGGGGATTTGAACACTTAATGTCTCTATTCTCAGCTGGGATTGTGCTGCAGCTAAACATAGAACCACCTCTTTGCTCATCTGGCAGTACTTTAGGTAAAAAAAACAAAACAAAGCTAATGAAGGTTCTGCTATAATGTAGAAGATGATGGATCTTCATAATCATTTGCATTTACATAATGTGCTGCTTCCATAATATGTGTGAGATACACTGATAGATTTACCGGTGAAGACGTCTCACTCTGTTGGAGCTGTTGGAAATACAGAGAAGCACTAAGTTCACTGTGATTATTCAGTGGCGTTACAGAGTGCTGCCTCTTTACCTCAGAAACAATCTTCAGCTAACAAAAGACCGACAACAGCCGCTTTGATTTTGTCCTGTCATCAGTTTAAGTCACAGAGTTAACATGAGTTAGCGACAGCTGTTATGACCCCGCTGGTTGTCATTTTAACCAGAAAGAGTCATGATCAGCAGAAGCTGCTGCCTGAATGATTTCCACATAGGGCTTTGCTAACAAGATTGTAGGTGTCACTGGCACTGTTATGCGGTGGGCGGCACCATTCTGTATGATCCTGCACGATCATGCTGTCTTGAATATTTGAATACTAAAAGCAATTACCTGTCCAACGAACAACACGTCGAATATTTGACTCCAGCCCTACACATTATTATACGGTTGTAAGGCTAATGGTAGGAACTCCTTTTGTGTTGGAACAAACACGGCCTTATCGTCATCTGTGTGTGTGTGTTTTCAGGTAATAGCCAGGAGGAAGGAGAACTCTGGGAAAGTGAAGGTTCTGTTGCACTGGACACCTGAAGACATGTAAGACGTGTTTTGGTAAATAAGCTGCTGTCAGCAGTGTTATGGTGGGGACTCCTCAGGGTACTTTCACACCTGACCCGTCTGGTTTGGTCACAATAGACTCTGGTGTGTTTAGGCTGGTGTGAAAGCTGTTAGTCAAACCCTGATGTGGACTGAGACACTTTGATAAGGAGGGTGTCGGCCTTTTTTGTGTTTACGTAGATGATTTGGAAACCAAAGTAACATAGTTGTGTGTCATCAGAAAACTGTTTTTCTTATTTAAAGTGTTGCTTTGCAATGACCAGTCTCTGTAATCAAATATACTTGCTTTATTACACTTCCATTACATTTGTGCATTTGATATCCACTATCGCTGAAGCATGTTTGAGATGCATAATGAATTTGGAGCACTTGGTGTCTGCCTCCTGGTTAGCTTCAGAAAGTGGAGGATATGGTTGACATGTATGAGAGTTCACCCCACTCCAGCTATTTTTAGGTGCTGCCGAAGGTGCCACCTAATCTTGAGCTGGCACTGGTAAAAATGCAGCTTTCTGCTGTTCACACAGAGAACAACAACCCAGTGTCGCGTAGAAGAAATAAGAGTAGTTGACATTTTGATCAAACAGTTGTAAATGCGTCGCTGAAAGCTCTCCCTGTGTGTGTCAGACTGCCAGATGTATGGGTGAATGAGAGCGACCGACTGCAGCAGAAGACTAAGGTGGTTCATCTGTCGAAGCTGCCCACAGACACAGCTGTGCTCCTCGACCCCAACATCTACAGGTGTGTGCTTGCTTTGGTTCCAAGTGTGGCTAATCCACTAAAGGTTGGTTCTGAATGACGTGAACCTTCTTCTCCCACAGGATGTTCTTCTAACACCTCCAGGGAGGCCCCGACGTCACTTCCTGCTAATCCAACTTGGGGAGAAGAACGTGTCCTTGTCCTTCTGTCTCCTTCTCTGCGTTGTTCTTCTCCTCCTCCTCCCTCTCCCAGAGGATGCTGGGAGTATAGTGACTTAACTGTCATGGCTGTCTGAGGCCTCCAGTGTTTTCTCCATTAGGTGCTGAGTATACTGAAGATGTGTAGATGTTATTGCTTGTTTTAGGTAACACAACTAGACTGAAAACTAACTGACAACGCTGTAATTGTAGACATGTGTAGAGAGAAACGGTCTTTGTAAATACTTAAGATTTGTAATATATTTTTACACTGAATTTTTTTTACTGTACTGTAGATAGATGTCACTTTCAACCAGATGTCTTAAAGACTTGTTGGTAACGTGCATATAGCTGGCATTGATCTGGTTTGATGTCATTAAACTTTTCCAACCTCCAACTGTTTTGAAGTCGTCACCTGTCAGCCACAGTGATTACAGCAGGAACAGGAGTATATAGAACAACAGGGCTCCATGTTTGACTATGGCTGCTATGTTTGTAGTATCACCTCAGTTTATCCGTCAGAGACTGGTGAAGGGGGTGTGTGCACTATAAATCCAATTCAGGAGCTCATTCCATCACTTCCAATGCTGAAAGCCTAACTGAGACAGAGGTGTTGTAGGGTAATGAGAATCAAAAAGGGTAAATTTATATCCCAAGACTCGGAGTGAGCGGAGGTAACTGTTGGATCAGGTTGGTGACAAGCATGAAAAGACATGGGAACTTCCTTATCTACTTACTGTAGGAAACGTCAGTGGGGATTGCCAAAATCAGAGGGCTTCATCCTCCAAGAAGCAACAATGTCTGAACCAAATTTCACTGTTATCCATTTCAAGAGCTGTTGGAATGATTTAGTCTGAAGTGGAGGACAGACATTGCTGGTGCAAAAATGCCAGTTAGCACTTCACACATTTAAAATCTGCAAGTCGGAAAGTGACACTCGAGCGATTTTTGCAGCAAAATCACATTTCTTATTTGACATTTTAAGTCAACTATAAATGTGCAACAACAACCACAGCACTTTAATTCAACCATAAGGCAGGGCACATTGTATCGTGTGTAGCCAAATCAGACTTTAATGTTTATAAATAACTTGCCAAATGTGTCAGTAAGACTATAAACCTGTAATTTGTTTTTAATAATGGAAAATATCTGTCCTCACAGTCCAAAACAAACACTTTTAATTCAGATATTTCAAATAGATCAAAATAATACTCAAGCAAAATATATTGCAAAAGTATCGGCCAGTAAATGTACTGCCCCCATTTATTATTTATTACCTGATTATCTGTTATTTAACTATCAAACCTAAAATGTAAAATGTTGATTTGTGTGGGATGTGTACGTTTTAAAAAAGTGCTGTCTGATTTATTTATTTTTCTAATTCTCAAGGACTGATACTGATCTCAGCCCCAGTGCCGCTTGGAATAGGCTATATATTTTTAACTCAGATTTTCCTCTAATAAACCCAGGAGAGGACAGCAGAGGAAGCCGTGGTCCCATTGGAGAGACGGGGGTTTCTCTTGAGGCTAAATAAATGTTAGCTTAGAGATTTAGTTGTAATTCTTAGGGTTAGGGGATGCATTGTGTCAAAGAGTTTCCTTACAGCTAAACAAACTATACACTATGTGGCTAAAACGTAGGTGAAATGTTGTGTCGCAATAACGAGGACCTAATAACTAATAAAAAAAAGAAGCAACATACAACCAGTAGGGGGAAGTAATATGCCACCCAGCCCAGCAGGTGGCGGTAATGCACCATAAGTTGGCTTGCAAACCGCCAATAAACAATAACATGAAGAAGTAATACGACGTTGTATCGGTCTAGTTTGCTTGACCAAAGAAGAAGTTGTCATAATTCGTGGCCGGAAGTCATAGAGCAGACTGGACGTCTAAGGATGGCCGGGCTATTGAAAAAGGTACGTGCAGAGGTCATGTTTATAGTTTTAGTGAGAGATATACGCGTGATGAAGAATGCAGTAGTGATTAGGTCATGTTGTTTATAATAACGTTACATTGTACTGCTACTGCGACGTACGTACGAGGTTGACTTATATAGATTCTGTTTGCAGTGTGTTAGCTAGTTACGAGCTGGTTTGCTAATTTAACGAGGACACTACTAAAGTTATTTATGCAGTATGTTAACTTTGATAGTGGGAACAGTGATGTTAATTAACGCTAACTACGTTTATTTCCAAAATTCGGCTGAATATATGACTTTTATAATATTAGGATATAAATATTGTAGGGTAAGATTAACGCTTTACTTTACGTGTCCTTAATTTCCCAAACAGGCAAACTGTGCAACTTGTGGGGAAAGTTGGAAAATGTTAAGTTGGTTCATTAAAAAAAAAAAAAACATCATGTAGCAATCTTAGTCAGAGTATGCAAAGTCAGCTAAACAGGCAAAGCAAGCATACAATTCAACACATATGGAGGTTGTGGTTTCCGGTTTTGTGTCTAAATATTTCCCCCCATCGAGATGTTTCCATCTGCTACAACTGTATTTCTAGTAGCGCCACCCACGGTGGTTTTGGTTAGGGGAAACACACCTCGACATAAGACCGATATTAATGGATGAAGCACACATACTTTTTAGTGGAATATTTATTTCAAGAAATTTCATCTGATAAAAGTAAAGCTGATTGTAGACTCAAAACGAGCACAGACTTTTACTGTGCTCAGTTCAAAGGAATGTTTTATGAAAAGCACTGAATGTGGTCTGCAGGTGTGATGGTGTTGGTGTTGGTGTAAAAAAAATACATGGAGACTCGTTTCATTTGAGCCTGAACTCTGAGCTGGTCCGTCTTACCTGCTGTCCTCTGGATGTAGTTCCTGCTAGACTAAGGAGGTTTTAATTCTGTGTGGTCATGTCTTCTTGTTTTTAATTAATAGTTGTCTTAGATTAGGGGTGGTGGTCATGACTCTTCTTAAAAGAGAAAAAAATCACTTGCTTCAAAAGCTTTTTTAGAAGATGTTTGAACATTTTCAGTCAGCTTTTAGATCCCACCCCAGTACTGACTGGTGTGCTTCTCTTTCCTGCGGGGTCCTGCCCTTTTTTTCATTATATAGGTTACCCCTGTGGTCAATTACAGAAAGATGCGTAATAATCAAAGGCATGATTACAAATCTGTCTGACTCTGAAGTCGGCAAAGTAATCCATTATTATCACAGTTTGATTGTCTGGGTGACATTGAACATTGGCTGTCACAAATGAAAGCTGTTTTAAATGAAAGCAAACCTGAATATATTATCTTCAGTACCTCAGATAGGCCTAATTGCACAGATTTTAATTCTCAGTCTGCCTGTTGTACCGTCATTAGAACCCTCTCGCCAGCCTGCATCATGTGCGGCAGACGTACTGGCCTCAAGCAGTCAAAACAGACAGGTGCTGTGCTCCAGAGGAATCCAGCATAGAATTAAATGCACACACACAGTCAGGCATGTCCTTGGATCAAGTTAGTGTAATGCATAGTTGTATTAGAGTGATGATTCTCATAGTAACAATAGCAGGAAAAGCTAATGAGCCAGATATATTAATGATGGTTCCTTTACATTTAGACAGTAAGTAAGCCATGCAATTGCACACAACACCAAGGCCCTGGCACTGGCCAACCTAAATGGAACACAGCCATCATTAATACTGTTAGATGCACTTGTGTCTGATATGAGTAGAGTAGAGGTGCCAAAAGCAACACAATACTGACAGATAATTCTACTGTAGGTATTTGGTGAATACACTAAATTCTACAATACATCCTTATGCATTTTGACACACAATTTATGTCTGCTGTTACATAAATGCATATTTTATTAAAATAATAATCATCTGTGTGGGTGTTGAAAATTTGTCTTTGATGACATATATGTCGTATTTTGTGGCCATGAGAAATAATTAATTTGACTCATATGGTAGCCCTTTAGTTTTCCTTGAAGGCTGTCAAAGCACATCCATAGTGTTGTGCAAAATTAAGGTGATTAAGTGAAAAAGTGAGTAGGAGCTGAAGTGACTCAGACTTAACAAGTGTCTCTCCTGCTGTTCTCTTCCAGACGACCGGCCTGGTTGGCCTGGCAGTGTCCCACAGTCCACATGAGGTGAGCGGCTGACAGTGAACGCACCACGCAGCTCCCCCTGCCATCTTGTTGTTGGCGCGCTGTAGTGCAGAGCGTGATCATGCCTCAGACTTGATGCATAGTTTTTAAAGTCACAAATTCATGTGCATAATCCCAGTGGTTAACATCCTGGGGGAGTCGGGGTGTTTCTCCCACTAACTCATCCACTCCTCTCTCAGCGTCTGAAGCTTCTCTACACTAAGATCCTGGCATCACTGCAGACCATGCCACAGGATGCTGCCTACAGGAAGTACACGGAGCAGCTGGTCTCTGAGAGGTTCAACCATGTCCAAACAGTCAGTACCACATGTGGTTTCAATAAAGCTGGTCATGCTGGGTCAGTTTTGAGTACTGAAGGTGTCTATCTCACATAGGAGCCTGATGTTGAAAAGCTGGAGAAGAAAATAAACTCTGGTCAGATTGAAGAAGTCATTTTCCAGGTAGGTCACTGTTACCCTGTTGATTTCACCAAGTGCTGTCAGTCACCCTGTTAAGGTGACCTCTCTGTGTTCCTAGTCTGCCCCAGTGGCTGCTGATAGCTGCAAATGTTTGTGTGTGGGATTTTAGAACCTGTAGTTCATGTTTCAAGTTTTGGCTCAGAGCCACTGATCTGTCTGTACAATGTTGCTGTCTGTCCCGCCACCATTTTACCCAGATCTGGCCAGTTTCATAGTTTTTCTGCTATTTTAACACATCCTGCAGTCTATATTAGAAGGCCTTCTGT